ACACAAGATAAGGTCCAACTCCTTTGTTTGATGAGTCCTTGAGAGATCTTGCCTTCCTAACTACTGCCGCAATATCTGGGAGAAGCTGTTCTGCTTCCTTGCCATATTCTTCTTGTACCTGAATAAAGAATTGTATCAGGCCAACAATCTCCCGATGGAGGTTATCAGTTTGTTGCATATCGAGAAGACAAAACAAAAAATCTGTCTAATGTAGAGTGATGATCCAAATGAAGCTTATTGGTTTTCACCGACAGGAGTATCATGCCAAGCAACTGTGGACTAGTAGCAGGATCCAGCTTGTCTTGTAGATCTGAAAAGGCAGTAGTCATTGTTTCTGTCATACTTGGATCCATTTTCTTCCTCCTGATTTTGAGCCAACGCAAACAAGATAGATTTGCTGCACAAATAGTCACAATTCCAGCATGATTATCAGAGCTTTGAGATTCCATTCTAGAGGATGAGACATCATTACAGTAACCAAGAAATGACTGAGAGAACTAAGATTCTTAAGGAAGGCTTGCATTTGTCCTTGAAGAGGCTCCTCAATATGCAAATCGGTTTTCCTTGCTACAGTGTCTATATTCCCTCAAACAAATGTGAAAGTGAACCCATCCCAATGATCATAGTGCACCCAGCAACGGTCCTTATGCTCAACCTCAAATAAGTAGTTGCAGGGTTTTTCAATCTCTGGCTGCAAAACCTCAATCTTTTTCATCAAGCTGGAAAACGTGAGGATGAGTTTGGAAACCTTGTTAGTACGGTGAGAAATCATAAGTTCTTTTCCAATATCATTAATTGTAGCTACAACTTTATGCAATGAGGATCTCAACTCAATCCAAAGCCCAGAGCTCAATTTGCCTACCATATCGTGAAACATTATCCAGAAATTGAAGTCCACTAGTAAGGTTTGAATATGATCCCTGAGAGCCTTGAACATGCTGCAATCCAATTTCTCCACAAAAGAGTAATGACTGATTTCCATTTTCTCAAATTGCACTTCCAGCTTCTTCAAACACTTCTCCATCTCCTCTAAAATAGGAGCAAAGTGATGAGATGCATAGCAGCTAGACGTACAAGACATGGATTGGCCTATCTTACTTTCTCACTCACTGACACCGATGAACAAGTATAACTATCACTATCAATTGAAACAGAAGTGGGATGAAATATTCACTTCCGAAACTTATGAGCTCTCTTTGTAGAACGTTCTTTCTATTCTACGATGTAGGACCAACGATGGAGTCATGCCCTGAATCTGCGAGCCTTGAGAGGCCAGAGAGTAAACTAAACAATGCCTTTAGTACAAAATTGTTTCAATATTTGACTCCAACTTCCCTGGAATAGATAATCAAAGTAGCATAATCAAAATACTAACTATTATCTCTGAAATACCATAGGAAAAAAAACATCCTAATGACAAATCTGGACCAAATCAAAGATCAAGAGATTTCCCTATTAGCTGAGCTCTAGTGTTAAATTTCCAAATCTGTAAAAATGACAAACAACGTGAGGAGAGCAAGCGCATTGCTCAGCAAGCAATGCATGCACAGTTCTAGCCATTCAGGAATTTTACCATACAGTATATGATCGTATCAATTAGTCAAAACAATATCATTCTTAATAACGAACTTCCTTCACTAAGAAGTTAGCAATCAATGGCATGACGCATATGAAGCATATGAAAGAAATACTGCTTTAACAACCATTGATACACAGAATATATTTGTTTCATATTTGCATTTAAGCTCATAATTGGCTCAAGTTCTGTTTAGGCAATCAAGGAGATCTATTCCTAATCTCTCTAACTCTTTGGGGAGGACAGACGTTCATATCCCAACTGTTATAACATGCTAAGGAGACAAACATTCATATGCTGGCTATAAAAGCCTACGGAGGGGCCAGACAATCATTTTCTATCTATGTTATCCCTCTAAGGGGCCAGACATTCATATTCCTAGCTACTGTAACTCAATAGGGAGCCAAAAGTTCAAAAAGCAGAACTAGTCCTGCCAAAACTATGTTGACTAAATCATTTATCTTTTAACCATTCATACATATATTTTATTGGCCTGTAAGATTTTTATAGACACTAACATGCATAGAATTCATATACTACTCTCTCCGTCTCACTTTGATAGTCCTATTTTTCTTTTTCGTCTATCTCAAATTGTAGTCCACTTTCCAATTGAAAAATGTAGTTGTATTTTAATTTTTCTAAAATACCCTTATTCAATATAAGTTATTGTTACTATAAACCTACCCCATTTAATGAGAGTTAGATTCTTTTTTTACCATCAATTTAAGTTCCCATAAAGTTGTACTCTAATTAATGTGAGGGTATTTTAGGAAAATAACTACCTAAATTGATTATTCCAACAAAGTTAACTACTTTTTTTTAAATTGTGTGAAAAAAGAATCAGATCTATCAAAGTGGGACGGAGGGAACACAACACTTAACATTGTTTGCCTCCACGTGCCAAAGTCCTAGCGTTTTAGTTCTTCGACACCACTTACTTCCCGAGCCTGCATGACCAAACCAGTTTTTGGGTGCCACGCCTAGCATGAAATTCAAAGTATGGGACTTGATGTTGTTCCTAGACTTTTGAACCTGCTTTCTGGTAGCCAAAAAAGCGTCCTTTTCGTCGTCATCTTTATCTTCAAAGCAAGCCTTGCTTCATCTCAGTGGCCTCTTTCCAACTCCTGAACCAATGGGCCTATGAGACAACAAATATGCAGAAAATGAAAATTAATAGAATGAAATCTGCTGCCTGGAAGCTTTGGTTACAGCAAGAATTACACTGACATACAACACCTAGATCAGAATATTCCATTGGAACAGAGTACCTGCTTATTTCTTTGGAAATCATTTGCTACCATTCTCACTCTATAATCTTCCAAGCATCTTCTCATATTTTATGTTATATATTCTTCATGGTCTTCAATATTCTATTCTTGCCAATCTGTTTTCTTGTCCATAAAAGTATGCAACTCACACAATTTCAATTGGAAATCTATCTAAGTAGACTTCGAATGGACCTGATAGATAAATATTTCCGTATTTAACACTCAATGTGAAAGAGCAAATTAACTAAAAATGTAAAACTGTAGCAAACTACAACTTAGTTAGTCAGACTCAACACTTACAAAATGTTAAACTATGTGAATATAGTATAACTCTAATGAGTAAATATTTCCTATACAGTCAATATAAACCCACTTTATACTAACGGCTCATCATATTACGCCATCTCGTTAATGAAGGTTCGCAATAACAGGTTGTCAATCTTCGTTAACAAGATGGTGCAACATGGTGAGTGTTGTTATTGCCAACCTTCATTAACAAAGTGACACAATATTATGGGTCATCAATGAAAAGTGGATTTATATTGACGGTGTAGAAAAGATTTACTCTAAAATGAAGTGCAAGGAAATGTTTATCCTTTCACTTAAAATGTCAAAAGAGTGTCAACAAATAACAAGTACCACTAATATATTTCCAATTCTATGCACGAGGCAATGTTATGCCACTTATGCTATTCCATTTAACTTTTCTATAAAATACGGAAGGTTAAAATGCATATGCTCTTCATTTTATTATAACTTCATGTAGAGGTGTAGCTGTAAATTCAATGAAAAAATAAGAGATTTTCTCTGTAATTAATCACGTGGTTAAAAGGTAAAAGGAAGTGTCATATATATATATATATATATTTATATATATATATATATATATATATATTCAACTCACACGTGAGTCCACAAGTTGAGTATTAGCAGAATTGTAAAACATATCCTTAACCCCAATCTGCTTTCACCAATTTGTTGAATATCTTTTGCTTTTATTCTCTTCTTTTCCTCTTCTTCCTCGTGACTGTTTTGCTATCTGTCTCTGTTACAATTGACATTGGAATAAATAACAAAAATGGTCACTAAACTATTTAAAATAGGATGGTTTGATCATTGAACTTTTTTTGACCAAAAAAGTTTCGTTAACTCTTTAAAATGGGTTTTTTGGATCATATTGTCTAATCTAGCTAGTAAACCAACTCAGAAAAAGTACATTAGCATGCTATTGTAGGTTTTTAGGGGCAAAAAAGTCTTAAATTGCAAGTCATTTCTAATTGATTTAGCAGTAAATGACTCAAAAGGCCCATTTTAAGAAGTTGAGCGACTATTTTGACCAAACAAAAAAAAGGTTCAATGTTCAAAGTGTATCATTTTAAATAGTTTAGTGACCATACTTGCCATTTACTCTTTGCACATTGAAAAAGTGAAGATCAAGCTTTTATGAGATTAATTAACTGCAGGATCCTCAAGTTCCATTTTCTTTCATAATTTCCCCCAAACAAATGGACCGTGGCTTGCTCCACTATGAAAATGTGAAGTGTTAACTTCAGTTTATCAGTCCCGCTAAAGGTTTGACTAGAGGTCTTAAAATGGATGATTTGAACAAATCATAATTGAGTAATAAGTATGATTGAGTCAACCTATTTATGCCAATTTAATAAATAAGTTAAAATAAATCAACTCATGTATACGTATGTCTGGATATATTGAATTACTCATTTATAACTCATAAACGTATTCGGTGCATAAGGAGAGAGGAAGCTGCATCTTTAGTTTAGTGGGAGTTTTGAGTTTGCCTAGTGAAGGGCATTTCAAGATTTGAGAGCAAAATTGCTCTGCTCTGGCAAAGTAATAATGCCAGGCATAGCAAAATGACTTTCATTTGCTTATTTATTTTTGAACAACTCAGACAATGTACTTGGCATAAGTTGAGGAAGACCATTCTTTTAAGAGAACTCCTTTTATAATTAGCATCAGCGGAGGAAGACCAGGCCCGACTCAATCTCCAGCCATCCACCTGATGGCCCAGTTTTCCTGCCAACTGCAGAGAGACTAGATCCGGCTGAGGAAGACCCTTAGTCTAAGTCTCAAGGTAATGGTCAACCAAAAAGAAATAGCAAAGCAGAAACTTTCAACAGACACCTGAGCACGTCTATCAGAATGGTGAAAATTATGACTAATTAAAGAGGGTTAGCCCTTGGTTTTCAGTTAGCTTAACAGAATTAGGAGAAAAGAAGAGGCAAGTATAGATGATTCCAGGTAGCACAACAAACAGTCATAGGCACGGAGCCTCTGCAAAAACACCAAGATGCTTAATGTTGAATTGATAGTAATACAACCCAGTGAACGAGCAATGCTCCCCTAAAAAGTGTAACCTCACGGCAAACCACCAGTAAGCCAAAAGATTTTGCTTGAATAGCAATGTTAGTCTTCTTTCCAATTGTGTCTACATTTCTTGCATGTGTAATATGTTGTCATCGGCTCATCAGCAGATCTGGTCTGCTGTTGACCAAAGGCTGCCTTAAGATGACCACAATTAGGACAAGGAGCTGGAGGAAAAGAAATAAAGAATCAATACCAAGTTACATGTGTTATTCCAGTTGGAAGTTTTAGCAGTTTCTACACGTCAACCAGATAGCTCAAGCTTGCTTTGCCCAGATTAAATCTACACCAACCTAATAAAGCATTCAGGTAACATGATAGCACTTAGACATGATTCTGGATCTAAACATACTATCAAAAAGTAACTTTATCAAGAAGATTTCTAATTAACCCCGTACCTGCCCATGGAGGGCAGTGAGAAAGCAGAAATGCAAACTAGCGAGAACTTGATATTGGTTATGCTGGAAATTACTTAAGAAGCATGCAATGGATCCAAAACAATGCTTGAAGCTCTATGAAACTTCTTAATTCAAGCATGCACCAGTCAATCAAACAGAAGATGTATACAAGAGTACAGCAAATAACAAACCTTCAGTTTCTGGTAAATGTTCAAGCTCGTCGTCTTTGGAAATGATAGGATCTAGTTCTTTCTTAACTAACCGATGCTTTCTTTTTATTTTAACCTGCCATGTGCGTTGATAACTCAGCAATGACACAATGGACATTGTGAATAGCCAGTAAATAAGCCCTCAACAAGGATTTATAATGACTTACCTTACTATCTATGTGACATACATACGGGCATGTTGGACAAAAGAATCTGGCGGGGCGGTCCATATGCGGCAATTCATACTGCAATAACATCCCACAAGTCGGGCAAAATTCCATTGCAGTCACTTTTAGGATAATCCACTATTTATGCACGTCTCTACAAAACTAAAACAAGGGGAAAAAAATGTATCAGAGTAACATAATATTAGCACACAAACTTAATCTTCACTTGATTGCTTCATTTCACAATTTAAAATAAATAAGTAATACATATGCAAGATGCACAAAAATTGAAGCACTAACACACAGTGGCCATAAAGAAAGGAAAACAGAGGTATCTAGATGATTAGAAAAGAAAACAAACTCTTTGATTTGACTCAAAATGATGAGCATTTCATTCCTTTCTGTTGTTTACCTTTCCTCACACACACTCTCTCCTTTCTCTTCTTTCTTCTCCATAATCCCAGAAGAGTACATGCGCAACTGAATGAATATTTTAAGATACTAAAGAACCTCGCTTGCTGATTCATGAAGTCAGTCCTACATCTTGATGGAGATGTCATGACTTCGATTGTTCTACATAGTACTGCAAGACACTTATTCAACAAATTCAGGATTTGTTCCCATAAGATTTTACTATCCGAAGCAACAAGCTAATGGCATTCAATGGATCCAGGTATAGCATATTACTAGTAGCAGTTAAGAAATGAGATATTTCACTATCTAAATCAACTAGTACCAGCTAAAAACTTAAATATCTTAAAGAGTTCAGACCAAACTAAAACTCACAAACACACCAAGAGGGAACAACAAAGAAAGAAGAAAAGCCAATACTGCCATTGCAGATTCCCTTGTTCAGCCATCAAGAAGCACAAGCAAAGGAGAAAAAACAAAAGGGCAACCTGTTTATGCCTTCCATTCTTCTACATGACTAAGACAACAAATTATGGATCATTCAAAAAAGTTGAAACCTAAATGTTTAAGAATCTTTAGAAAAAATGCAATAATGACTACGGAGAGTTGTATCAAGTCACACAAGAAAATACTGGTGGAAGAAACCTGCAAATGATAATAAATAAAGGGAAACATAACCTTTTGGTCCTTCATTTGTTTCTCATTCCCCTTAAATTTACATAGCCAGGAAGTTGTGGAAGGATAAACCAAAAAGTACAAGTACCCTTAGGCTGAATTAGGTATTGATGGCTAAAGATGAACATGTAATTAAATTCAAAAGTAAGCCAACCCTAACAAAAAAAATCAGAAAAAGCTAATTGAATTCAAATATGAAAAGGCACATGCACAGAAAAAAGTTGCAACTAAAAGTATGCATAAACACATACCATTAGTTCAAGAGGGAAAAACCAAGAAAAGTAAACTAGAAAAGCAGAAGCTCCAAAGAGATTGATCTAGCATGCAGCTCAACTATTTCATTCATTATGTTTGAAGTGCAGCTAAACTATTTCACCCAACACTGGTGTCTCTTTTTCAAGAAAACCTATAGATCATTCGCAATTGAGTCCTGGTAATTGAAATTTGGCATGTCAATTACCAGTCAAAAAATAGACAATAAGAGTTCTTTATTTCTTAATAATTTGGAGAAGTAACAAAACAATGGCAGATATATTGCTTTTCCTTACCATTTACTCACACAAGGGAATTTTTCAGTCAGCACGACAAGCACTAAAGGCAGGCAAAGAATTAATTGAATCAAATTCTTGAAGTAACCAATCATTATGATCAATGAATAACTACTATGCATGTTCCGAGACAACTCCGTTGAAATGGTTGGGAAAGCTTGCCATTGAAGACCTAGCTAGACCATTATGCAACTTAAATTATCCATCACAAAACTATTTAACCAATAACAAGAAACTTCCGCACAGAATAATGAAAAATTTTCAGCTTTTCTTGGCTCTGTACAAGAGTGCTCAAGGCAGTTTTGTCTCGCAATGTAGGCCAACTTTGGTTAGTTAAAATCATACACTATATACTTGCAAACAATAGGAGAGGGAAAAGCATCCATACTAGGTTGCAAAGACTATAACAAGTGTAAAGCTTCAATTACCAAACTCAACATTGAATTACTCCAGTCAGCAAATTGAACAAGTATTCCTACAATAAAGGAAAGAATCACAAGCTCAAATTATATCTAAATATTGGATACCACAGAACAAAACAACAGGTTGCAAGGTGGCCCTCCAATTAATTGTACAACTACCAATATGGAAAACATCTTATCCTTAGCAACTTCGAGCAGTCATACTAAAAGATTCAAGCATGAGTAATAGCCTAGACTCTCAAAAGTGAGAAGTGAAGATCTAGATCTGTGTGAAAAAACAAAATAGAGTCAAGTATACTGTTCAGTTCAAGCAAACAACATTTCCAAGCAACTTGCAAACGTCTTAACAGCTTCCCCTTTACTCCAATCCCAAAACGTAAATCCTAAAATTTAAATTCTCTAGACAAGAAATCCAACATTCATTATTCATATCGCTCAGAGATATCAATAACAACCATATACATTTAACAACAAATTTCTCAACAGAAAGGCAAAATCAAATTCTAAGGACACCAACGGAATGATATTTTACAGAAAAACTACTGAAGTTTCTTAAACTATCAATCAATTAATACAAAAACAATCGTGCAAGCTCAAACCCTTACCTCAATAAGAACTGTCAGAAAAGGGGAGCGGAGCAATGAATATTACCAGAATTCCTAGAGCTTCGTATAGTTATAAAAAAAGAAAACTAAAAACAAAAGAAGCATTTTTCAGAAAAGAAAAAAACCAAATTCCTCTGTGAAACTAGTGCCACAATTCTCAAGAATTATAGCAACAAAATTTTTAAAAAAATCGATAGAATCCTAGACTGGAGCAACCAATTTTATCAGAATTTTTTCGAAAAAAAAAAAAATATTCAGGATAAAGCCCTAAATAAGAATCTCACCCATGGCACCTCGCTAGAGTTGGAGATGGTTGCCGTCAGAAATGATCATATTGTTGGTGATTTCTCAGTCTCTCCAATCTCCGTCGCTCACTCTCTGTATCTTTAGCCGCGAAGTCTTTGTTTGTTTATGTTAGAATGTGGGAGTAGCGAGCTCTATTGTAAAATGCAGGAGCCGCTCGTTTTAACGAAGGAAAATAACTTCAGTAAGTCAAAAGGGGAGGTAATTCCCACCAAGTGAAGTAAAACATATTCCCCGTGTAAATCTTTTTCTAAGATAAACGATTACTGTAGAGGGTGAACCCTTTCACAGGAGACTTATTATGGATTTATAAGGGTTAATCACATTTTATCCCATTAAAGAATACCCCATTTCTCAGTTTACCCCCTAACCTTTAATTTTGTTCACTTAACTCCTTTTAGGACAAAATTGCCCTTGCATTATTTTGACTTTTCATTTACCTTATTTTCCTTTCTTTTATTTCTTTTTCTCTTTCTTCTTTATTTAATTCTTCCTTTTTCCCACAAAAATCTTCACCTTAATGATTGAAATTAAAAAAGAGGAATTGTAGAGATCTATCTTTTCCTTAAATGATTAAAAAAAATTCAAATCACTTTCCTAAAATACAAATTTTTTTTAGCCTTTCAATTCTTTTAATTTTGGATTTTCCTCTTTCCTTTCTAGTTTCTCATTTTATTCCCAAGAAAATATCTTAAGATGAAATTGTGACCTGATTAATAATTATCAATTGAAATTTGTGACACGTGACATCATACAAAAAATCAAAATTAGTTTTTGATGTCTTTTAAACCTTCGCCCAAAAATATGCGATTACAAACTCAAAACAAAAATTTTTGTGGAAATCAAATTTTCTATTGGGAAGGATGATAGAGAGAAGAAAGAGAAAAAGAAATAAAAGAAAGGAAAACAATTTCATCTTATGATATTTTCTTGAGAATAAAATGAGAAACTAGAAAGGAAAGAGGAAAACCCAAAATTAAAAGAATTGAAAGGCTAAAAAAATTGTATTTTAGAAAAGTGGTTTGAATTTTTTTTGATCATTTAAGAAGAAGATAGATCTTTGTAATTCCTCTTTTTTAATTTCAATCATTAAGGTGAAGATTTTTGTGGGAAAGAGGAAGAATTAAATAAAGAAAAAAGAGAAAAAGAAATAAAAGAAAGGAAAACAAGGTAAATGAAAAGTCAAAATAATGCAAGGGCAATTTTGTCCTAAAGGGGGTTAAGTGAGCAAAATTAAAGGTTAGGGGGTAAACTGAGAAATGGGGTATTTTTTAAGGGGATAAAATGTGATTAATCCGATTTATAATCTTGGCACTGTCTTGGGCTTAAGAGCCTCCAGTGCTTTAGAGGCTCTTTCCAAAATACGAACCCTGGTCCCTTTGGATAAGGGGTCTTAAGATGGTACCAAGATTCAACCTTAAGACCCCTTATCCAAAGATACCAGGGTTTAAATTTTGGGTAGGCCCTCCAAAACACCGAAGGCTCTTAAACCCAAAACGGTATCGAGGTGACAAATCCACAATAGATTCTTAGTGGGAGGGCTCACCCCAGCTTAAATGGTACCAGGATTCAACCTTAAAACCCCTTATTCAAAGGAACCAAGGTTCGAATCTTGGGGAGACCCTCCAAAGCACCTGAGGCTCTTAAACCCAAAACGGTGCTAAGGTGACAAATCCACAATAGATCTCTAGTGAGAGGGCTCACTCTCTACAGCCACCCTTCTTCCTCTTCCCATCTCATGTGACTTTTTGTCCATCTCTCCTTTCCCGTCATCAACATCACATCTTGTACATCTCACAACAGTCAAAGTATCCAAAAGTTTTTGGCCATATCAGGTACGGATTCCATACTCATGCTCGTTTCGTGTAGATACAGTTGCGCCTGGGGTGAATTGCGAGATCGGGTAACATAGCCCAAGAGAAAGAAAAAACATTTGGTTATTGGTCCTCAACTGGCCGAAAATCTTGTCCCCAACGGTACCGTATACTCCTACATCCTCCACTTCCACCCACTTCCGTAGATAATTTCTTCTCAATCTGGTGAAAATCCAAGCTTCCGTTTGTGCATTTTTCCTTTTCCTTCCTCTTTCCTCCATCCGACATTTCCACCTCAACCCCCTAGACAATGTATGGAATCCTGAAGCAGTAGTAGTACAGAGATGCATGCTCCTAATTATAGTTAATCATCTCTTGGACCATTCTTCTGAAAAAAGCTGCTCCTAATTGTAGTTAATCATCATTTGGACCATTCTTTTCAACAAAGCTGGGTAGGTAACTAACATTTGATGACTTTTTTAACATTTCAATGATAGGATTCTACTAATATTTTGTTCTTTCAATTCAAGAAAAAAGTTTGTTCTTTCATATATTATACTTCCTTAATTTTGATATGCAGACAAGTAACAACAGATACTATAACATAACTGATAACTGTTACAACTATTGCTTGTTTATTTGTTACCAACCTTATATATGGTCTATGTTTTAATTTTCTCTAGTGTCCTTTGTATAAGTTTTGCCCAAACATCTCTTGGATTTGATGCATTAATTCTTATTCCATTTGCCTTTTTAACATCAACTCTCTTTGTGTTCAAGTCCTGGGAAAAGTAATAAATTTTGTTTTGTTCTGTTCCCTCTGTGATAAGCATTTCTATGATTGAACCAAAAGAAGAATAAGACTAACGTTGTGAGGTTGCCCATTTTTGCTCTCTGTACTGCTGCTTTTTTATAGATTGGAAGCCTTGGGATGTTATTTAAGGCTTCAAGGTGGTAATTTATGGAGGGTTTAGGATTTTGTGAAACCATAATACACAATTTTCCTCTCTGCTAAGTGCTAAATACTCAATAGTTTGGTTTTGACCTTTTTTCTCCAGACTTATTATGCAAAGGGTTATTCCATGGTGATCTTTCATGTTCTCTTTTCAAATTAAGGGTTGCTTGTCAAATATCTTCTGCCTTTTATGTCACATTTGAATTTTTTCACTCTTGAATATGATGATACATGTCTTGTACACAGAAATACTTGGCTTGTAATCAATCAAACAGTGGGAAAATGAGAAATTGAATTGGCATTTAGTTTGTTAGAAAGGGTAAATCCTAAGTATTGCAAATTCTCCCAAACTCTTGCAGACTGAAAGTTTAATCTTGAAGTACCAGCTCCTCAGGTCTACAAGTCCTCTCTCACCTATCCAAACAATTGCAAACACAAAAGGATACTCTTTCCTTTTGCTTTTGGATTTATGGATGATGGGTTTTGTACAAGGATAAGAAAATCCCAGAACCCAATGTCGACTTTGATTCTGACAACTACAAAAAACCTTTGAATGACTGTGTAGGCACCAAAATTTTATTTTTAGCTTTATTTCTTATTTAATTCAATTTTTTGCTTCATTTTGTTAGGTTTATTATTCTTATTTTATTTTATGTTTACTGATTAAATGATAGTTAGGGTTATTAATTATTTTATAAATTAGGTTCATTATTTTTATTTCTAAGACATTTTGCATTAGATTTCTGAAAAAGGAAAATTTTCACAAAAAATTGTTTTTAATCCTCTTAGATTCAATTTAAGAAAAAAAAAACTATTCCACGCGCTCCATTTCCTTCAATTTTGTTGCGATAGCTTCAGTACAGAAACAAAAAAATTTTGGCAGCGGCCATTTGGTCTACTTTCCAGTCGTTTTTTCGGCTTTGCTTTCTTCCCATTTAAGCCCTCAGTACAAGGCCACATCACGGCTTCAAGATTTATCAAGAAGACTCCAGAAATCATGAAGATCTAAGGACGTAAAAAATGCAAAAGAAAAGAGTTTTTTTTTCCGCCACCCAAATGAGGGTTTCGGGAGCTAGCTTCCCATATAAAAGTTGAGGAAAACACAGCCGGATAAGGTAGAGAGAGAATAAGAGCGGCAGCTGGAAAGGAAAAAGGGGAGTCTCAGGCTGAGAGGAAAAGGAAACCATAGGAGGAAACCAGAGAGCAAGAAAGACTAGAGAAAAGGCAAGAAAGAAACCAGAAAGGGGGGAAGATTCTGGGGAGGAAAAAGGGAAAAACAGAAACAACGGCAGGAAACAAGAGAGCTTCGTAGGATAAGGGAGTAACGGCTGAAAGAGGACAACAGATAGAATAAGGGGTGGTGGCTAGAAAGAAGAGGGGAGAGGTTACGGGTGTTTTGAGGGAGAACGAGACGAGAGCAAGAAAGAAGGAAGAAAACGGAAAAGCTGAGAAAAAAAAAAGGAAAAGGGATTTTCGGATGGAATAAGGAAAAGAGGGTTTGAGAGAGAGGAGCTGACTGAGAGCTTCGGAAGGCTGCGGAGCAAGAAACCAGAGGGAGGAAGGATGGCAAGAGTGAAACAAGGAAGGGTTTCGTGAGAAGAAAACTGGAAAAGGAGAGAGCTTGGGCTTCGGAGGTGAAGGAAGAAAAGGAAAAGAACCGAGGGAGAGCAAGGAGAGTGAGGAGGAGAGCGACTGCAGAGGGGTTGAACAAATCTGGAAAGGGATAGGAGGAAGCTTCGGGTAGTGAGGGTCTAGAGGAGAAAAAGAAGAAAGGGTTTCGGAGGGTTGGTAGAGAGAATAACCTAGAGAGAAAGCAAGAGAGGTAGGGGGTGGTTGAAGAACAAGAAGGGAGGAAAAGAGGGAAAAGAAAGGAGAGAAAATTTGAGGAAAAGACCGAACGGGAAAGTGCAGAAATTTCTTGACAAAAGGGTGAGCCAGGGTTGGTGGAACCGTCAGGTTCTTTGCCGGATTCCCATCTATCAAGGGGTTTTCGTGATAAAATCTTGCTTTCTGGTTAAACTACGTCAGTTAGGGAAGAACTTTCATGCTATAAATTTTGTAAAAACCCACTGTAACATCCTCAAATCGAGACCTCAACCTGCTGCCTTCACCAGACTTGAGGAATGGCGAACGAAAATTTCTGCTCTGTGTCCGACACTCCAGGCGCGAGTTCCTCATTCTCCTCACGTTGATTCAATCTCCAACTACTTGCAGGTAGTGAACACCCTCCAACACTTTTTATGAGATTTTATTGAGCTATCGCATGAGTTTGCTTCAGTCGTATATGGGTTTGCTAGCTACTTTTTTTGTGAGCTCTGCTGCTAAAAAATTTGGCTTGTGATGGTTTGGGCTTACCCACAGGGA